TTTCATTACATCTTTTATGAACTCTCAATGACCTGTCCACATTTTTCCACATATTCAAATTTATATTCTCTATGCCATTGAATCTGACCACCATGCATTAACATGATTAATTTGTTTCTTGTTTGTATTCTTTATCACTACAGTAGGAACTATCTACTCTCCCCTATATTTATTATCTCCTTCTTCCTTAACAATAGATCTTCTAACTTTAATCTGGGCACACAGCTGTCCAGGGTAAAGACTACGTTTTTCAGCCTCTCTTGCAGCTAGGAGTGTCAAGTGACTAGATGCTAAACAACAACATGTAAGCCAAAATATTATGAGCAACTTCAATAAGGGTCCTTAAGAGGAAGAGTATTCATATTTTCTTTCTAAAAAATTTACTTAGTTGAGGGATGCCTGGGTGGCTCAGCAGTTGAGACACCCAGTGTCTGCCTTCGGCTCAGGGCATGATCCTGGGATCCTGGATCGAGTCCTACATTGGGCTCCCTGCATGGAGTCTGCTTCTCCCACTGCCTGTGTCTCTGCCTCTCTCTCTGTGTGTCTCTCAGGAATAAATAAATAAATCTTTTCTTTAAAAAAGATTTATTTAGTTGAGAGAGAAGGGGAGAGAGCATACAAGTGGGAGGTGAGGGGGGTGCGTGCAGAGGGAGAGAGAGAAGCAAACATCCCACTAAACAGGGAGCCTGACTTAGGGCTCAATCCCAAAGTCCCAAGACCTGAGCTGAAGGAAGATGCTTAACTGACTGAGCCACCCAGTTGCTCCTAGAATATTCATATTTTCAAGCTCTCCTCCTTCATACTGGCTGGAATGCAGATGTGATGGCTGGAGCTCAAACAGCTATCTTGGCTCATGAAGTGGAAGTTACATGCTGAGTCTGGTGATGAGACAGAAAGACCCCTGGGGTCCTTGACTTTATGAAGGGCCATATCAGTCTTAAAATATCTAGTTCTGGATTATTTTTAGAAGAGAGAAAAAAATACTATTATGTTTAAGCTGTGAACATTTTTGTGGCCTCTTCTTTATCACTCCTGGGAACACGTAATTCTAATTGATCCACCTATCTCCAAGTTTTCATTTGCTACTTCTGTCCTACTAAGAATGCTCCACCAATTTATTTTTCTATTTCGCTCAGTACCCTCCCACACAAAATTGTCAGGTTTCTTTCTTCCTTTAAAATATAGCTCCTGTGGTGTATTTCCTGGGGGGTCAGTTAAGCATCCAACTCTCCGTTTCAGCTCAGGTCATGATCTCAGGGGTCGTGTGCTCTGCGCTCAGCAGGAAGTGTGCTTAAAGATCCTCTCCCTGGGATCCCTGGGTGGCGCACCGGTTTGGCGCCTGCCTTTGGCCCAGGGCGCGATCCTGGAGACCCCGGATCGAATCCCACATCGGGCTCCCGGTGCATGGAGCCTGCTTCTCCCTCTGCCTATGTCTCTGCCTCTCTCTCTCTCACTGTGTGCCTATCATAAATAAATAGATAAATAAATAAATAATTAAAAAAAAAAAGATCCTCTCCCTTTGCCCCTCCCCTAATGTGCACAGTCGCACTCTCTCTCTGAAATAAATAAATAGATAAATACAGCTTCAGATTCAAATGCCTATGTGGAAACAGTATTGCTAAGCTTAATCCAATTACTCTTTTTTGGTTTTTTGTTTTAAAGATTTTATTTACTTATTCATGAGAGACACACACACAGAGAGGCAGAGACACAGGCAGAGAGAGAAGCAGGCTCCATGCAGGGAGCCTGATATGGGACTCAATCCCGAGACTCCAGGATCACGCCCTGGGCCGAAGGCAGGCACTTAACTGCCGAGCCACCCAGCCATCCCCAATTACTCTTTTTTGAACGCAAACACACACATACATCTATCTACGATGTATATGTGTATATATACATAGATGATAAATGGAATTTTTAAATAATTTAACAGATTTTTAACAAATTTACTAAGTTTTTACATCCAAACATTCACTATTTGCCATCATTCACCAAAATTCTTTTTGAACATCTTTTTTTTTTTTAAACGGACTGAAAGCCATCACTAGATGTAACTTCCAAGACAGCACAAATACACCCAATTTGCTTACCAGTCCAAGAACAGCGCCTGGCATATTGTAAGTACTCAATACATGTTTGTGATATGAAAAAAAAATTAACTGTAGCAAAACTTCATTTGAAGGTAGACTGACTTTTTAAAAATAGTCAAAAGTCATTCCAAGCTCAGTTTAGTGAATAAGATGTGTCATAAAGCTAGAGAATATCATTTGGGTTAAAAAAAAAAAGCAGTGACTATAAAGCAATAAACCTGATCTCCTTGTATGAATCATAAAAATGGCTCAGAGTTGAGCTTCTTTCTGTGGCAATTTAAAGATTCATTTCCTAAGCTTACAGTTAAGTACGCCAAGCTTGCTCCAGTTTCAGAATGTTTGCACCTGCTGTTCCCTTTGCCTGGATCACCCCCGATATACATGGATAGTCCCTTCACTTCATTTGGGTCTCTGTCTAAATAGCCACCTCTTCCAAAGGTCTTTCCTTACTCCCTGACCTAAGGTAAAGTCACCCTTGTCACTTTCTGTGCCCTAATACTGCTTTCCTTTTTTTTTTTTTTTAAGATTTTATTTATTTATTCATGAGAGACACTGGGCGGGGGCAGAGACACAGACAGAGGGAGAAGCAGGCTCCACATAGGGAGCCCAACACAGGACTCGATCCCAGGACTCCAGGATCATGCCCTGGGCCAAAGGTGGGTGCTAAACTGCTGAGCCACCCAGGGATCCCCCTGCTTTCCTTTTCTTTATAGGACTTGTCACTGACATAACATTTTATATCTATTTTGTTTATGTGTGATTAGTATCTGTCTCTGTCACTAGAATATTTGCTGTCTCTGTCACTAGAATATATGATGAAAGGGACTATGTTTTACTCACTGCTATAGCTCCAAATTTCTGCTTGATATCTAAATTTCAAAACAATCCATTAACAGATGTTTACAATGAAAGAGCAAGGAAGAGAAAAAAGGAATGGAGAGAGAACAAGAAAGGCAAGAGAGAAGTAGTGAAAGGGGTGAAGAAACTCTGGGCAAGTCGGTGATTTTACTCTGTAACTCCATTTTTGTATTAGTTTGAGTTGAAGGCTTCTGTGAGAAAATTTCAGACTGTCTCTTTTCTCTCCTGGAGATTTATTTCTAAATAAAATGGCTACCAGAAAGAAAGAGGTCCCACTCCACTTAGAAGCATGTGGATGGCATTTACTGTCTTTTACCATCTTTCCATCTCCCTAGTCCACACAAACACAAACTGAGTGAACATTCGAGAACTCCTGAGTCAGAGAAGTACTTTAGTGATTTTTAGCAAGATTCCTCTGTGTTGGTATTACTATTAACATTCTTAATTTCTATACATAACTGACATTTGGAACATCTGTTCATTGAATACCTGCAGCTCTTTCAGGCTCCTGTTTAATAGAGTTACATGATAAAGCTAGGCGGCAAGCCTCTGAAAATACTTTTAACTCTGTCACTTCTGCTGTGTCTCTCACAGCATAAAGTTTAGCTCCTTTCAAGGCACAGTAATTCAAGTCACATTTCTTTAATGATTTTCCTTCCTCAGACCATTCCTTACACAAAACTTACCAACAGGGTTTGTACTGGAGAAGATAGAGCACAATGACATTCCTTCATGTTTTGGCAAATTTACTAGAAAAGGTAATTTGTTTCTTTTTTTTTTTAAGATTTTTTTTAAAATTTTTTTATTTATTTATGATAGTCACAGAGAGAGAAAGAGAGAGAGGCAGAGACACAGGCAGAGGGAGAAGCAGGCTCCATGCACTGGGAGCCTGATGTGGGATTTGATCCCGGGTCTCCAGGATCGTGCCCTGGGCCAAAGGCAGGCGCCAAACCGCTGCGCCACCCAGGGATCCCTTTTTTTAAGATTTTATTTATTTATTCATGAGAGACACACACAGAGAGAGGCAGAGACACAGGCAGAAGGAGAAGCAGGCCCCATGCAGGGAGCCTGAAGTGGAACTCGATCCCAGGGCCCTGGGATCACACCTGAGCCAAAGGCAGACGCTAAACTGCTGAGCCACCCAAGTGTCCCAATAATTGTGTTTTCCTGCTGATTTCTATAACATTACAAAGAAAACCTTTATTTTTTTTTAAGATTTTTTTAAAATTTATTCATTCATGATGGGGGGGAGGGCAGGCACAGACACAGGCAGAGGCAGAAGCAGGCTCCACACCCGGAGCCCCAACACGGAACTCAATCCCGGAACTCCAGGATGGTGCCCCGGGCCAAAGGCAGGCGCCAAACCTCAAAGTCACCCAGGGATCCCCAAGAAAGCCTTTTTTAAAAAAGTTCATTCTGCATTTAAAATCTTTGGCGAAGGAAAAAGTTCTATGATAGAAGACACTGTTGTCCTGTAGGAGTTTGAGAGACTTTCAGAATTCTGAGACACATTTAAGAAATGTGTAGGATCAAACAGCACAAAACGCATAGATGCCCAGACCCTGAGGCTCACATTCCAGTTATGATGAAAATCTTACCATGAATCACAATGCCAAATAAGTAGTCACTACTTTAATACCATTTGAGCTCAAAACTCTCATTTTATTTGAAACCCAAAAAAATTGCATTCAGAAAACAGTCGTAATATTTTCTACTATTACTCATCTTTGTTTTGTACAGAATGAGGCCTAATATAGTACCAATAGCACTAATATAGCATTAATACTTCAGTATTAAAATCTAATGTTTTGAGGCACCTGGGTAGCTCAGCAGTTGAGTGTCTGTCTTTGGCTCAGGTTGTGATCCCGGGATCAAGTCCCTGCAAGGACCTGCAAGGACCCTGCTTCTCTCTCTGCCTATGTCTCTGCCTTTCTCTCTGTGTTCCTCATGAATAAATAAATAAGTAAAATGTTAAAAAAAAAAACCCTAATGTTTATATTTTTTCATTGTTCTTAAATGATACCATTGTAGGCTGACGCTCATTATACATACTTTTATTATGTAGCCTTGCAACCTTAAGAAGCTTACGTTTCTTCTCTGAAGCAGAAATTTCTGGTGTGTGGGCAGAAGCACATGCTGTTGGTGAGTTAGCTGTACCAGGTAATCTTTTAGGAAATGTCATAGAGTAGGAGGTACGCCGTCTTGTCCGACATGCTACTTCCCTCTCTCTATGCAGCAACTGTTCATCCATCAGCAACGTTATGACTTGCTTAGACTTTTCCCGGATATAATAACCTGAAAAATACATTGGATTTGTGTAGGTAAGAAAATGTTCATTAAAGCTACAATTAACTTTTATTCTAAAGAAAATTAGGAAAAAAAACATAAGCAATGTAAGCAAAGAGAAAAAATAGGGAAACCGGTTTCATTAGAATTGTCAATAAGCTCTCCTTTTCTTATAATTTGAGAAGTAAATAAATGTATGATGAAATCGTATCACATATTTCCTTTTAAAAGTAATACATACATTGCAATAAATCAAACAATATAGGCATAAAAGAAGAAAAATGAAATTAGATCTAGATGTACGACCATGACATATAACTAAAGATTTAAAATAATATGCATGGTATGATTTAAATCGGTAAAGCACAGAGGAAAATCAATCATTATATATGAATACAGGAGAGATAAGTAGATAGAGAAATACATGAGTGGATACAAGGATGGATGGATGGGCAGGAAGATGGTCTGCTGTGCTCTCACAAAATTGTTAATATCTCTTACCTTAAAGGGGTACAATTGCGGTGGGACAAGAATGGGGGGGGACTGGATTTTCTTTGACATAACATCTTATCAAAACAACTTGATGCCATTAATAGAGTGCCAGAGCACAGTCTAAGACCAGAATCCTAATGAAGATGCTCTCCTTAATCATCTGTGTGACTCTGATATGTTAGGTGATCTGTCTGGCCTTGAGTTTTCTATGTAAAAACCAGTAGAAGCATATCTGTTCAGTGTAATTCACAGATATAAAAATATACTCATTCAAATATATAGTATTATTACTATTCTCAATCCCCTCCCCATGAGAAATGATAAAGGAAACCCACTTCCCTCTCCATAGCTTGGGACCAACTCATATTATAACATCTCATGTCTTCCCAAGCCTTCTTCCAGAAGTAAACTGAAAAGTCCCTAAAAGATGCACTACAATGTTCACTCTGGGCTCTAAGCATGATGAATTAAAGTGGTAATATATCCAACTATAATTTACAAGTAGTAGAAGTAATGAGAAATGGTCAAATGTAGGGTGCATTTAGATGAAAGAAGCTATTATGTTCCCTGCAGTCGTTTCATTAAGGACTGTTACGGATGGTGTCAGAAACCTTTGTTCAAGTTGCCATCTTTCCCAGGATTATTTTATCTACTCTTAATCTCATTTCTTAGTCACTTCCTCCTTCCAAACTTCTTTTATAACTGCTGTGAACCGTATCATTCTTAACACCCTTAGTTTCCTATGAGTAATTTGTAGTCTGTAAACAAAAAATCCCGCAGTGTTTTGGGTTACCACTTTGTGTTGCCTGATAGAAGTCTGCTGTGACTGTCAGCCTTTGGGGACAACATGCCAGACAATCCTTTCCCCTGGAAAACTGCCATAGCTCAGTTTGGAAGAAAGGGTGAAAGACTTGTTTTTCCATTTCTAACTTCATAAAGACTCATCTCCTTCCACTTGCACTCTCTCCCTCTACCCTGGCGACCCTGACTGCCTTATTCTGCAATCACACCAGGCTATCTATCTCCTTCAAGCTGTGTGCTAGCTGTTGCTTCTGCCAGGGACTCTGCATGGATAGGTCCCTAATTCATTCAAAAGTATCTACTCAAATGTCACCACCTCAGAGAAGCCTTCCTTCTGCCACCCTCTCTAAAATAGCCCTATTCCCATCACTCTCTCTTTCATTACCTATTTTGTCACTACCCGATACTGTTATACACACAAACACACACGTTTACTTGTTTACTGTTTCTTTTATCTATGATACAAACTCCATGGGGGCAGAGAACCTCATTCACCCAGTACCTTTAGTGTCTAGAAGAATGATTGTACATAGGAGATACTCAATAAATATTTACTGAGTAAATGAGTAGATAAAGGAGCAAATTACCAAAAAGTTTCAATTTCCTCCTTGACATAGTGCAAATGGAACCACATGTATAAGATACTGAGTGCCAATTTACAATGCAGCTGCCTGAGAAAGTTGCTTGGCCTGAAAGTTTCTTGCAACACCCTTAATTACAAAAGGTCAGAACTAGAAGTTATGGGACAGATGTGGATTATTTTACTTGGAGTCTGCATGAATTGGTGGCACTTGAAAGCAGCTACAAAAGTTCAAAGGTCCATGCAGGTACATCAAGCAGAAAGCCAACCACAATGATGAAGCACTTCTCCCTGAAACATCAGGGCTCTTCCCTGAGGGAGCAGTTGATAGCATCCGGAATGTCAAGCCCAGTGGTTTACTTCTTACTTGAGGCTGCCCACTACCCTGGCTACCTCCCTGCCACCCTCAAGATGCTGGAGAGTAGAAACCTGGCTGTTCTAAAGCACTGAAGTTGAAAGTGAAAAAAAATCTATGAGTCCAATAAACCTGCTTCCAGGATGAGTTAAATAATAATAGTACTAACAAGATGGCATCTCCTCACTGCTAAGTAATATGTTTCTGAAAGGAAAGGAGGGATGCAGTACTAAAACAGAATTGTACTGGAATAGAACACATATAGGAACCAACCACTTTGTGTCTAAAAGAGAAAAGGAGGGGAGGGGAAGAAGATGGGATGGAGGGAGAAAGAGAGACAAAGGGAGGGAGAAAACATGGATTCTCTGAAATGAGAAATCAAGCTACGAAACAGATCAATACCCAAAGGTACATCAAGATGTAAAGCTCATTATTAAGATGAAGAATAAAGTCAAAACAAAGCTATATTCTGTTTTGGGGCGCCTGGGTGGCTTGGTCAATTAAATGTCTGTCTCTAGCTCAGGCTATGATCCCAGGACCCTGGGATTGAGCCCTGAGTCAGACTCCCTGCTCACTGGAGAGTCTGCTTCTTCCTCTCCCTTTGCCCCTCCCCTTCATTCATTCTCTCTCTAATAAATAAATATATTTTTTAAAAAGCTATATTATTTTAATTAGGAATCTTTGGGTTCTTTTTTTTTTTTTTTTTTTTTTGAATCTTTGGGTTCTAAGTGACAGAAACTCAAACTGAACTGGCCATGAAAAAACCAGGGGTTATGACTGGGCCTCAGGTAAAAACGAGGAAGAGACTGGAGAACTACTAGGACTCCTCTTCCCTCTCCCATCCCTTCTTCCCTCTGGAAGAGGCGTGTAATGCCTTCATTTTCTCAAACCCTTACATATTGGCTTCGTCCATCTGAATGTGGACATGGCCACAGATACCTCCAGGTTCATGCCTCACACTCTACCACCTGAGAAGCCTCCCTCTTCCTTCATTCAAACTGGAAAAATCCAAGAGAATGACTCAGTTTAGCCCAACTTGAAAGTCACATGCCCATCCCCTTGGCCAGAGCAGGAGATACTCCCATTGGCAACACCCATCAGAAAGGCACAGTGAAGTAAGGAGAGAGTCAACAGGATAGAAAAATGAACAAACAGAAAGCCAACTGGAGGAGGCTTCTCAAACTCAAGCAAAGGACATACAAATCACTAGAGCAACTATGCACCAGACCAATACCCAGAGATACTCACTTATGCACCTAGGCAATTATCTGATCATTTCTTAAACACTTAAGTTTCAGGAATTGTTCTAGAAGCACAAGTGAGAAAAAAAATGACAAGATTCCTAAACAAGATAATTTTAGATAAAAATAAATGCTCTAAAGGAAATAAAGAACAGTGAGGTGCTAAACATCAAGTTGTGGTGCAGTGAAGTCAAGTCATATCTCTGTGCATTTTGAGCAGCCAGAAAAAACCAGCCCTGCAGACATTCAGGCAGAGGGAGCAGCTCTGACTTCACTTCTTTAGGAAGCCCTCTGTTGAGAGATAGCAAGACCCTCCCAGCTCGCTCTACACATCCTTGGTCAAGCCTGGTTTCCAGTCTCATGCACCTGCACTTGTCTCTTACTGCACTTCCACAGGTTGTAATTGCTTATTTATTTGATAAATGTCTTTTTCCCTCCATTACAGCCAGAAGTATGCCTGTGTGCTTAAGAGATACTTCAGAAATGTCTGTTCAATAAATGAAGGAACATTCTGAGGGAAAATGTCCCAAATGCAGGGGAGGAGTCTCTGTAAACACACAAATGAGCATCATGTAAAAGGATTTAGAAATATGATAAATTCAAAAAAAATTAAAATAAAATAAAAAATAAATATGATAAATTCAAAGATGTTGGGCAGTGAAATGCACCAGAAACAAAGACATACATCGGACTTCTAGAAAAACATGTATTAGGCTTCAGACAGTGGTCATAAAACATCTTAACACCACTCCCCCCATACCTGACCTACTAACCAACCCAAATTTACTCTTCTTCCGATATTCCTTTCTCAGTGAATTTTATATCCATTCACCACCACCCCCAAAACTCAATAACCCAGGCCTCTTGTTAGTGTCAAATCCATCCTCTCGTCTCCATCCCCCAGTTCAGGCCCCACTCGTTTCTTGCCTGTGGTGTTCTGTTTATTTACTTATCTCAAGTCTCTCTTGCCTTCTATCCTCCACAATGTCTCCAGGGGTGGGTGATGGAAGTGGGGTAGGAAGGGAGGGGAGAAGTATCCCCAACAGTGTTATTTTCAAGTTAAAAAACCCTCAGTCAAGTTGACACCGTAAGTTCATGCTTCAAAGTACCCCTCTCCAAATATACAGCAATAATAGACATCAGCAGTCTCAAAAACAGGATAAAAACCTCCACAAACCATAAATATAAGAGAAATGAAAAGGCAATGAGCCAGGCTGAAGCTACAGGGCTGCTGGGTTCTTGATCTTGCAGCCAGGAGTTCAGCTCCTCAGGTGTTAGGGAGCCAGAGCTGATCTCACTCTTTGATGCTAGGGGGTATCTGTGTTTGAGAGAGGGCTGGGAAGAAAAGAAAAAGAAGAGGGGAAAAACCCAGCTGCTTCCTGGGCTGTCACTTATTTGTAGCTGTGGGTCTAGAAGCTAGAAGACACATGTGCAGCCTTAAGGCTGGGAACTAAACCTAAGGCAGGCAAGGCTCCTGCCACCTCAGTGGCTGCATGTAAGACACCTTAGTTCTATCACAGGGCATGGCTGCCTTTCTAAG